CAGTCAAATTGAATAAAACGTTATTCTGAATTCCAATGATATCTGTTTTTCCGTTAACAAGCTGTCGCACCCCTACGAACAACCCTCAAAAGTCGAAACTTCTGCGAGCTAAGGATTAACGAGGTCTAACACGGATTGGACGATAGCAAGTGAAAATAGATCGTTCAGACTAGGGCTTGAACCACCGACCAACACGGCAGCCAATTCGAGTGAGTGAACAAAGCACCCACGTCGAACCGCCTGGCTACTGACCGAAAAGAATACACGACATATTGGTGATGTATTCAGCCGCGTCAACCAGGTCGGCTATTGTTTTAGAATTCAACAACTGAACTGTTCTTCCACTTAACCCTAAAAAATACCTCTCTATTGAATTTTCTTCAAATAATACAAATACAAAGAAATAATATACAAATTGGTCCACACTACGACAAGTAAGTTTACAGAAGTAGGAGCAAAACGATATGAAGTTTTGAAATCATATCACAGACGTGTATTGAATAAATGGCTAAATAGATTATACTTGAATTTTTGGAACCCAGCTGTACGTAATTCGAGGGGAAGGTCATTCATCACATTTGATAACTGAAACACCTGCGGAAAAATTCAGTTTTAAAAAAAGGTGAACCTGATATTGACGTCAGGGCTGTCGCCTTGGGGGGGGGAAAGCCTCCCCCCTGCATTTTCGACTTGGGAAAAAGTTGAGAGAAAGTTGGGAAATTTTAGGCCGTGAAGATTGAAAAAAAATAATAGTAAAAAAATGGATAGAAATTAAAAAAATAAAAAAGAGAGAAAAGAAAGGAAGCGGTAATAAGAAAAGAGAAAGAACCAGGAAAAGGTCCGGATTTCCCAACATGTATACCTTGGAGATCTCATACTTTGAAATTCTGAGTTGTTTGGAATGTTCAAAGGAAATTAAGGAAATTAATATATTATAGTAGTAACTAATCCCTCGGCTTTCATTTTTTCGAAAGTTGAGAAATTTTGCTGGTGGGGTTGGGAAAATTTGGATTCTCTCCCCCCCCTGGTTTTTCTTTTCGCTACGGCCCTGATTGACGTTATGAACATCCATTCAAAAATAAATTTTTCCATGAAGATAGGCAGGCTTTCTGATAAGAATAATTTGATGGAATAGGTTGGCGGCACGCAAAATTCTTCTGTTATTCATATTTAACCAATAGGCATCTTTGAGCTTATGAGAGATTCTCTTATTCCATAAATAAGTCTCAAGCACTAGTTTTGTACTTTTTGAATTTTACGTTTATACTGCCCTCAAATGTGGTCCATAGACAGTACCTATTAGCATAGTAAAAATGTCATAAAACTAGTGCTTCACATAATACTAATTTCAATTTCAGTGGAAGATACTGCCTAACTCCATATATCAATTTTAATGAAGAATATGCACATCGTATTAAGATATTCAAGTTCTTTTCGAATCTGAGAGTGTGGTCAAGGATGACTCCAAGATTTTTCGCTTCTTCCAACAACTCGATATTCACGCCATTGATTGATATGTTTAGGTATCCTGAAATATCAAATCGTTTATTCAGGTAAAAAAATATTTGATTCGAGAATTGATAATTTGTTCTTGAATCGGTGCATTTAGCTCAGTTCGACCTAAAATTTTAAATTATCTCGGATGAATGTCCATTTTTTCAAACTCAAACTTTGTTATTTTCAAGCAATACTAATCGAGCAACCAACAACAGATAAAACCTGCCCAGTGCAATGCTCTTGTGATATTCATAAATAACAAAGTTTTCGCTAAAAAATAGAAATTTATCGATAAAATTTTGAGGTTTTGTGATATTACTAGTGGGAAAAAAGATATGTTTTCTGAGGCGAGTGTGGAGATTGATGAACGTCAATCATACGAGCTACACAAAACAGTTTTTCTCAAAAAAAAACTACAATTTGTTTTCTCGAACACACTGGAAAGTGTTTTTGAGATAGATAATTCAAAATTTGTAATGATTATTATTTGATGTGCTCGCGGTATGGTGATTTCAATTTGATATGAGAGAAATGTCAAGTACTGCATATATCAGTCAGAAAACAAGCATTTTGGACTTTTGAAGAAAATATACCTTGTTACCAATACTGGATTATTGCCACATGTGATAACTGAAACGGGGAGTATTTTCAAGGAGAGACTAGTTTAAAACTGTCTTTATACGATGAAACTGCAGTAACGTTAGTTACAAATACAAGTAGTAAAAAACATAGGAAATTTTATTTCTCAATTTTCTTTGGAAGCATACTTACACACTTTTTCTTATTCCATAACATAAATGCATGTGCAATTTATTATTACATGCGTTAATTTTGTAAACTTATCCTTATGATACTATGTGATTTTATTATATTAATTCATCAAGTAAAGACCAATTCTATCTGCACTATCTGTAACTCAGACTATTCAAAATTCTAAATTCTTTTTTGTAGGCCGCTCCGATTCTGGCATTTCGGGAAGGTCTCGCCATAGAACAGATGACAAGGGGTCGGTCCCAAAATACTGTATTGTTTAGTATAAAAATCATGAGGACTCCCATTCACAAGGATTTCACTTCCTCATCTCATGCGATTGAAAAAAGCGAGGGTTACATTTCATACAATAGACCTGTCGATTATGTGCAGTGGCGCCACATAAAGTTAATCTCAAAAGGGAATAATTTCATTGCTTCGCAGAAATTATTTCAAAGGAAATAAAAAACTTTCATTTGAATATGTCCGAAATGTTACTGCTGAAATATCATATTACCTTGATATTATCCGCCAACAGTGTGAATTTACCTCTGATGTCAATGGTTGAAATATCATTCACGTATATTTCTAACAGAAGAAGACCAAGCATTGAACCTTGAGGAATATCACATGTAACTGTCTGAGCTGAAGAAATTTCAATGTTCACCAAAGACAATTTGGGTCCGATGTGTTAAAATCGAGTAGAACCAGCTCCAAGCAACAGTATCTGGTGATTTATTGAATCGAAGGCCTTTGCAAGATCGTAAATCATCGTTTTGAATCATTTTTTTCAACGTTTCCAGCTCTCTGACTTCAGACTCCAAGCATCAAAGGGCCAACATTTCAGAGAAATTTTCGCTGGACAGTTTACAAAACCGCAACACGCGTTTTGTTATGCAATAGCTTCCTCAAGAGATTTCATGAAACGCTCTAAGAAGTTACTGTATAGCGAAACACGTGTGGTTTTATAAACTGTCCAGTAAGAATCTCACAAAGTATTACTCGATCAAGTTATGGATTATGAGGAAGCTATGCGTTATGGATTATGAAGCTATACTTACTTGAATTGTGAAAGCTATACTCACTTGAATACGTTATATATTATGGGGAATAAGCTTTACTTACTTGAATACGTTATTGAAACAGCTTTACTTACTTGAATCAAGGAAGCTATACTCACTAGAATAGATTATATACTTGTATACGTTGTAATTTATGAGGAAGCTATTGTATGATTATGAGGAAGCTAGTACATAGTGAAACACGTGTTGTGGTGTTGTCCAGATGAAATCTTACAAAGTATTACTTGAATAAGTCATGGATTAGGGGCCGTCTATTAATCACGTGATTTTTTTAGCATTTATCAACCTTTCTCCCCTTTGGTGATACGTGGTGAGGTTCAAGACTAACCCCTCCTCTCACACCCATAATCACGTGTATTTTTTTGTACCTACAAAATTTGTTTCTTTCTTATATAGGTCTTTATACAGATCACCTAATTTAGACATTGTTTTAATGAAAAACATACGAGGTAACGATGTAACCAAGTATTCGGCTCTAAAATAACAGAATATAACTGACGACTGGCAAGCCGAGTCGAGTGGTCGTCGTGGTGCTCGGCGCGTGGGGATTTCGTTCGTTGCCTGGCAACGGCGAGTCAAAGTCACATTACAAGTCGCTTTTCGGTTTATATCTATAGTTACTTGAATACATTATGGATTATGAGGAAACTAGTGTATAGTGGAGCACGTGTTGTGGTTCTGTAAACTACCTAGTAAAAATCTCACAATAAAGTATTCTTTGAATGAATTATGGATTATGAGAAAGCTATACGTTTTAGAATATTAGGAAGCTGTACTGACTAGAATATGTTATAGATTATGGAAAATAAGCTATATCTACTTGAGTACCATATGGATTATGATGAAGCTAGTGTATAGTGAAACAAGTGTTGTGGTTTTGTAAACTGTCCAGTAAAATTCCCATAATAAAGTATTATTCGAAAAAGTTATGGATTATGAGGAAGATAAACTTACTTGAATTGAGGAAGCTATATTCTCACTTAAATCCTAAACTTACTTGAATTGAGGAAGCTATTCTCACTTAAATCCGTTATAGATGGTGGAAAATAAGCTATACTTACTTGAATACGTTTTAGATTTTGATAAAGCTATTTTATGATTATGAGGAACCTATATAGTGTATAGCGAAACGCTTGTTGCGGTTTTATAAGCTGTCCAGTTATGGATTATCATCAAGAATCGACGATTCCTATCTTATGTTTCAGAGAAGATTTTTTTTTCGTCAAGATTCTGACTTTGTCGCTCTCACTGTCACTCGTATTGTCGCTCTTCGTAACTATGGCCATTCTGATCCTCGTAGATCAGAACCTGACCGGCAATTTTCGAGTCACGCCGGTCCTGACCTTGTTTAAAAAGCCGCCGCCACACCGACCGGGTCGATCAAGACCAATAGTCCGTAAAAAAGCGAGATTCATAATTTCAACTCGCGATTTATACCTCTCCAAGTCTCTGAAACCATCCGCGGCATTTCCCTCCAAAAAACGAAGAACTAAAAAAAATACAAATCTCCCAGAATTGGTCGACGATTATTAAAACCCAGAACTCGAAAATATGTATATCGAAGGCGGCTGCGCTCCGTGAGAAAATCAATAGCGAAGGGTAGTAATAGTGACTACATAGTGGGGGGTGTGTCGAATAAATCGTGGTGTATGACCAAGATAACTCAGCACTGCCTTCAGGACGATGTTTTGTTTTCAAAACCGGTGAATAAACACACTATGATGTTGCCTGGCAGGGAAACCGATGCCGAAACACACGGAAAATCCAGTGAAAACCTCGAAATCGGAAATGACAAAGGTTGTGGCTACTATTAATAACATTCGAAAACAGTGTCATTAAATTCATCTAGACGGCCGTGTTAAGAAATACCACTAATTAAACAGCTGCTCCGCATAGTTCTACTAGGATATTTAAATGAATGGGAATTGAAGTCGAAGTGCACGATAACAAGACGAAGAACTTTTTGTACGGTAAGTTTTTGTTTCGATTTTACATGCACATCCAAAATTCCACTCTGAGGGTTATGAATCGGAAGGTGTGCAGTTTTGTGAATGATAAATACGTTGGTTAGGTAGGTAACGTGAAGAATCGGATTACTAGCGAAACATGTGACGGGTGATAAAATAAATGTGGGTATATCTCCAGTCAAACGGCATTCCACAAAAAGCATGAGGTTTCAAGTTTCGTTATTGTTGGAGAACAATAGAAATATTATCGTCTCCGATGTTGAAATTCTTCTTGGGCGTTTTTTGGCAATCAGATGTTCACTTAGAACGATATTCCAGAATTGTGTTTGTTTCGATGTTGAAATCAAATAATATATGTGGCGCTTGCATAGATACGTTTTTTTGAGTTGTTGCATCTGTCAAATAACAAATGAGAAATTTTTGAATTCGCTGAATGGACGAACAATACAAGCAAATCAGTTTTCAATTGGCGCAATGATGACAAAAATAGTTCAATAGGTTTATTTTCGAAGGAAAATGGAATGTTTAAAATGAAGAAACAAGTACTAATGTTCGTAAATAGAGTGCGGACATAAATAGTTTTCCCCTCTTAACTTTTGAACGGAACAAGATTTACGTAAATTTACAGAATTTTCGTAAAGAGGTATCATTTTTAGTATTTTTGATAAGGAAAACAATGGTGTTGCATCACTCGTCGCCAAGAGGGCGCTACCAACTTTTTTCAGTAGAATGTATAGGGTCTTGTGATAACCCATTTGATAGGTATTTCCATTCTCTATCCAATAGTGTTTCATTGTTGGAAATTGATTTAACAGTTCCCGAATAATTAGCTATTTTATATTCGATTTGAGAATCTGTAAATAAACTGTGAATATCATAATTTTCGGAAAAACATTATTAGAAACTCACTGTAGTTCATTCCAGTAAATGTTTAAAATGTGTATCATTCATTCCTTGACAATGATGGAGTCCTACATTATGAAATAGGTACTATTACTATTCTCATACCATCGCACTTACATCGAGTGTTCCACAAGGTTCACATTTGGGACCACTGTTGTTTAACCTTTTTATCAACGATCAAATCAAACATGAAAGCGAAGCTTTGCTATTTGTCGACGATTTAAAATGTTTCAAAATAATTAAAAGTGAAGCTGATACAATGTGTCTATAAAACGATATAGATTGCCTATCTAACTGGTGTTCGCAAAATGGTATGTGTTTGAATGCATTCAAATACCAACACTGACCACACCAACCACACCAACACTGACATAAAAACTTGGCAAGTTGACTTGGATGTCACACCAATAGGTGGTTCCACTAATGTTTCGCTTGCGTTTACGCAGCTATTTTTATCAAGTACTTTCTTGGTTTTTCTCATTTTGTCTTCAATCGAGGATAAATATTCATGTGGTAATATCGTTACAAGCACCGCTTTTTCTATCCACGACTGAAATGAATTGCGAGATGGTTTTGGTGATTTCACAGATTTATTTTTCCTCTCATTCTTGAATTTACCAGAGTATTAACGGTCAATTCGTGGACTGTTGAAAAAAAAGGTGAATGTTAAAATTTCGCGGGCTACATATATTCAATTAGTGATTTTTTTATGATGGTACACTCGTCCCCAACATATGTTGGAGTTACAAAGTTACAGCTGTTTAGCATATTTAGTTTATTGGTCAGAGGCATAAAAAATTGAAATGTTTTTCGTGTTTGGCGATTTTCTGCTGTCGAAAAAAATCGTTCGAAAGATTTGTATCAAATTAGGTGCTCAAAAACACATAGTTGAATTGTTTTTGGCTGAAAACAACACAGTCATCATGCCTCAGCCACTGTATTCACCAGATTTGGCCCTCTACGACTTTTTCCTGTTCCCAAGATTGAATAGACCCATAAACGGACGGCGTTTTGCGAAAACCGAATTGCTGAGCTCAAGGACACAAAGTGCATCATTCAAAAAAATTAACACGAATCTTGTTGCCAATATGAATCACAAACAGTTTACGTCGTTCTCAATTCCAGTCTTCGATGCGGTTCTTATGTTGAAAACTCACATTAAAATCTGAAAAGCCTGGTTATATTTCATGGAAAACCTCGTTGGAAATTCTTGAAATCGAAAGAGTTTATCGCCCGAACTTCCTGCAAACTTTAAATGGGATGGTAACCACCAAACATTACTTTATACTTTAGGGTTCGGGTTATAGTATCTTTTCTTACAATTGTGTTGTCAATTCAGCACTGAAACTAAAGAAAAGTTTCTATGATCGTCGACAAAACTTCTGAAACACAAAAGAAAAAGCTTCAGAAGACAGTTTGATGAGTTTGTCTTTCGATCGAAAATCGAACTGTCATAGACGGAGAGTATGATTTTAGAAACCTGATAAAACAACATTTTTTAATGTCATTGTTTAATATGATTAATTTCTACTGAAATACTTTTTAGTTTCACTCCAACTTGCTTAGATTGGCAATCCTAAACATTTGAAATGTAATAGCGGTTATGTGGAACATCAATTAAAATAAAAATAATTTTAACATCTTTGAAAAAAACGAATTCAGAGTGTTCAAATTGATGGTCACTTGAGCTTCAGTACAAAGAAATTCACTTTTCTTATGTCACAGTGAAAATAATTCAATGGATGTAAACTGCCAAAAAAGACTCCTCGATAGGAAGACTAAACAGATTGTCTCTGGTCTGAATTCCTGGCCATACTGGCCTGGAAGGCAATGAAGCTGCTGACTCTCTTGCAAAGGAGGGTGCTGCAAGCGGCTTCATTGGACCAGGAGTTATGGACTTCTGGCAGAATCTTCCAGGATTGGCTCACTTCAAGGCGTTTATTCACCCTTCGAAGCTTGATTCCAAACAGTTGTTGGACTACAGTAGGGATGAACTACGATGTCTAACAGGCCTTCTTACAGGTCATTGTCATTTGAATCATCGCATGCAGAAACTTGGACTGTCAGTGTGTGTCGCCTCTGTCTGGAAAATGATGAAACTGCAGAGCATATACTTTGTGCCTGCCCCGCCGGGGACCGAATCAGGTTCTTTGAGTTCGGCAGATCCGACTCTCACCATCTGACCTGAAAGACCACTCACCATACAAACTAATCGGCTTCGTTAAGAAGCTGGGTTTATTTGGCCGAATGTGAATAGGTGTGAGCCACAATAAACCCTTATGGGTTGCGGTGGAGGGTCGAATAGACCCACTCACTTTAGACCTACCTACCTACTGGCACATGCTGATTTGTTTTTGATTTGTTCATTATACTAGTATCGTGCGTTTATCTCACGAACGTATACTTCAACTGTGGTAAACAAATTATTAGTAAAAAACAATTTTTAAAAACAAGGTTTCAGTAACATGGTCTAAAAAAAAGAAAGTAAGTTTTGAAATAAATCAGACCAATCAATTTATACCAAGTGATCATCTTCAGTATGATATTCCTCTTGATCGAAACCTTGGACTATAAGTAGTTCATCAGTATCATGGAAACTTCTCAACTCATATGACAATTCTTTATCTGGCTGCCGAATATTGCTTTCAACCTCAAAGACTGAATCCTTAAAAACACACAAGCAATAAATATAACGAAATTTGTCAAGGATCACTACTCACTTTTATCACAAAACTAACTGTGAATGAAAAATTCATAATTGATGTATTTACAAGAACTAGTTTATGCATACACAGCAGCATGTACGCTGTTGGATAATTAGTCAATTTTATGGGTGGAACGCATTTCAAAATGATTAATGGCAGCAGTAAATCGTTATTTGATTAATTTCTGTACGAGTCAATTAGGATATGGAAAAATGATCTGAGATAAAACCCGAAAATAAAATAGTGGGTACGTCATTCCGTAATGTATGTACCGTATCTGACTCAATCTTGAATAATTTAAGATTAACTTGATTTGCCGGTGAAATAAATGGATTCTGTTTAATTATTACCTCGTTATAATTGATGGAATTGTAATTTTCGTTTGTTTATGTACAAGTTAACCTTGAGATAGACAGTGATCTAATGACCAGCAAAACCACCCGTTTTCATTTTATTGATCTTCACGACTCAGTTCCGTCTACATGAACAGGGATGCTTTTACCAAGACCGTAGCTCGAGAGATTGTATCTTAAATTATTATAAACATTTTAATCGATAACGCTTGGTATACAAGCGAAGAATATGTGAAATATTCAATGCATCATTGAATTCTTTTAATGTCAGGAAAGGGATGATGAATATTTTGAACATTTATTGAATTGAACTGAATTCATTGTTTGTTCGCAGAGTCAAAAAAATTGAAATAAATCTGCTGATTGCTCAAAAAAAAACTTGTCAGATTTTCGAAAACAATTGATAAAGAAGTGTATGACCTATCAAGCAAAGAATCGCAAGACCCTTTTCTATTAGAAAAAAAAGTTGATGGCGTCCTGTCCACGACAAGTGATGCTACAGTATTGTTTTTTTTTTCATAAAAAAATATTTAAAATTATGCCTATCAATGCAAACTTTGTCCGACTTTCATATCTTATCCTGATCAAAAGTTAGGAGGGGAGAAACTTTTTGCGACCGCACTCTATATGGTGATGGAGGATTGGAAGGGATTTAGAATAATTATATCCAAAATCTTAGAAAAAAAACGTAACTATGTTACATTACATTTAGAAGATCTCCGAAAAGTGACATATTGTCCTTCTGAAATTTGTCGGGAGCATTAGAAACTCCAAAAGGTAATCTTAAGAATTGGTTAACGCCAAATGGTGTCAAAAAAAATGTACTGACGACACTTCGTCAAGTTCTATATCATAAAATCTATCACTCGTTATTACTACTAGTACTTGTCCAAGGACGCCACGTATCAAACAGATAACAAAATTTTTAAGTAATTATAACTGCACCAATATCGAATTTCAACACTCAAATCGCGATAAGTTCCTAAACTGAACATTGACGACACAACGGCGATACTCATCCCCACATTCTATTCGTCACCGTAACATGACTTCAAATTTAATTTCATGACTCTTCAGCCAATCATAAAACCAATTCTTCAGTCCGCGTGGACTATTTGGCAGCGGCATTATTTCTCTGTATTGGTTTTTTGGCCTTTGAAATGCCGATAGCTTTAATTATTCACAATACAGGTTACTTCTACTATACCAACGGAATTGTTAGATTTTTTATTACTTGGTAGGTCCAGTGTAGTACGCTATACTTTTATTTTGGCTTCGTTAATAATTTTAAAATTACCACAATTGTTATTGCCGAAATTCTTTTTCGCCCCCGTATCTTCTAAACAAAGCGACCTATCAAAAATCATCAAGGGACATAGTATCCTTAGAATAGTCCCTTGATTTTTTGCCTCATGTTTGATAAACACCCTGTAGATTGTGTACTTTCTAATACCGTGATCTCTATGACAGGCCGGGTACTTCTGGGATCACCCTCGTATAATTAATGTATTATTAAATACACTGCATTAGTCTAGTTTATAGCTGCAAGTACACGTCGGTGACGTTTACAGCCCTTGAGACAAACTGCAATTATTATGTCAGACAATAATGAAACACTTGAGAAACAGTACTGCCTGCAATTAAGAGAACCTCTAACGATGTTCTTCAACGGGACAATCAATAGATAATAAACGCGCATCTCTGAATAATTCGCGACTGGTTTCTTCCGCGATAATTAATAATATGAACAGAAGCAGAGAAAATTACTGAGACGGCAGCCCGCGTTTTCTTATCTCCGGTTTTCAGCCCCCCATTCAGTTTGGTGTTCGTCGGGTTCAAATGGGAGATTCCGAGCCTTGTTAAACAGTATTAGCCTTTGTGTTTTAATCCATTCATATTGTGAAAACATTATTATTCAAGAGTGCTCGCTACAAATATTTCAACTAATCGGGAGGAAGAGGCGTATAAGCCTAGTTTTAATCCGTTTGCTGAGTTTCATTGTGAAGGAATTAGAAAATCGGGTGACGGAAACAAAGCAAATTATTCCGTTTGTATTGTTGGCAAAATTGGTTTCAAGTTAATTCAAGACAAGGAAGTAATGAAAACATGAACCTCCGCACAATTGGTCTCAAGTTTAATAGAAAATGTTTTGTTGATTTGAATAATTAACTATATCTCACATTCACTTACTAAATAAAATAAAGCTGGAGCTTTGTAAGCACAAAACAAAAAGGGCAAGAAAAATCTTCCAAATAACTATAGATCATGGAGAAAGTCTTAACCACCATATCCTCAAATAGTTGGAAGGCTTCAACATCTTGAGGGATCATCAATATGGCTCTCGGATCAACGGGCGACCTTCTAACGTGTGTGACCCATATTTCGAATAACGCGATCGAGAAACATGGAGAATCAAGAGCTGTTGCACTTGATATTTCTAAGGCTAAGGCCTTTGCTGGCCAAACTTCGATACTATGGCTTATCGGATCATTTCTGTGTATGGCTCTTCAGCTTCCCGAAAAAACATTCCCTGCAAGTGGTCGTCGATGGATATCTCTCGAATACGTTCACCATCAACGCTGGTGTTCCCCAGGGATCCATATTGTCCCAAACCTCTTTTTATTGTATATCAACAACTCATTGGAAAAAACCAAGAATCCAATATATTGCTATGCTGTCGGCAGCACACTTGTCTCGTCATTCCATTTGAATTCCAGGACATCGTCTACGGAGGCATATTTTCAATCGGCAGCAGAATATTGCATACCTTAATGAGGATGTAGAATTGGGGTGGAAGTAACCAGGTTCAATTCAATGCCACAAAAACACAGGCATCGGTTTTTTCCAAAAAGATCGATGTCTCCAAACCGAATATAATAATGTCAAGTCAGACAATTCCGCTTTCTGCTTCGAAAAGTTTGTTGGGGGTTGAAATGGACACCAATATATCTTGGCACAATCATCTCACTGGAATTGCAAAGGCTGCTTCTCAAAAGCTTAGAACACTGTTCCGAACCAGAAAACTGTACACACCTCAGCAACTTTTGATGCTTTATAAAGCTCAGAACAGACCTTCTTTGGAGTATTGTTCTCATGCATGGAACTCTGCCCCCAAACATACCCTGAAGTTGCTGGATTCCATCCAGAAAAGAGCTATTCGCCTGATTGGAACATCACGTGCAACCTTGGTAGCCTGAAACATCGAAGAAAGGTTGGAGATTTGTCTCTCTTCTGTAGATACTTTCACGGGAGGTGTTCAAGTGACTTGGCACATTTGATTCCACCAAGAGCGGTACATATCAGAAATACGCAACGGACTGTGGCTGCTCATCGTTTTGAGGTTCAACTCAGTACACCTCGAACTTCACTGTTTAAGAACTCTTTCATTTGGAGAACTGCGTTTATGTGGAATAAACTTCCTGAGAACGTTTTACCACATTTGAATTTAATCTCCAGCGATTCAAATCCAATCTGAATCGCAACTTTCGCACAGGAACCGCTCTGAGAGCGTCTTAAAGATATTTCTGTAGTGCTTGTGTTTTGTCTTGAAAAAATATTTCTACACATCTACTGCACATCTTGAGGAAGGGACTTCTCACTGGCCATGACTCTGTCCGGCAGCGGTAACTTATATTTGATAATTTTGCCTAACAAAAAAGAGAGTTTATTGTATAAGTTTGAGAATGCCCATAAAGGACGAAACTGCAGTAACGTTAGCTACAATTAAAAGTGGTAAAAAACAGGCATTTTCATTTCTCTTTTCATTATGATCTCCTACCACGTAGTAACGGCTACATCCATCAATGTATTAACAAAAAAGAGCTACAAATACTTATCTTAGCGGTTGAGAGGCTAAAATCATTCCCCGTCTTCAGAAATGGATAAAGATAAAGGTTATGCGCAGTTTTTTTCTTTTACTGTTTCTCTTTATTTCTCAACTTCTTCGACATATGTTGAAGGAGTTTTGAAATGTGAAATATGTCAATGTTATTGATTGACTTCTGAAACATCAAATGTAGTACAAGGTATTCTCTGATAGTATGTTGCAATTTCTCCACTATCTATATCTTTCTTCAAGAAGGGTAGCCAAGTACGATCCATTTTTGAGGAGCTGTTTTGAAAGTTTTGGTTCTGCTTATTGTATATTTCTGATGTAATCTTGATATTTATTCTCTCTCAATGATCTTGAAGTTTCACCAATATAAGTTTCACCAATATAACTTTCACCACAAGAAACACAAGAACCAATTGAACCCAGGTTTGTGTTTAATAAACCCTACAAAATACAAATACAAATACAAAACAGTCAGATGCTACAAAGGCAATACGCATATATACAGACGGCTCAAAAACCAAAGAAAGATCAGGATGTGGAGTGTACTCCAGATCTCTCAGCCGAAGGATTAAGTGAGGAATGAAAAAAAATACCAGCGTGTTTCAAACTGAACTGGCTGGTATCTCAATCGCCACAAAAGAAATAACCAGGAAAGGAATTTCTGGCAAAAACAAAACAATCTGCACTGATAGCAGACAAGCCCTATTAGCCTTGAACAGACAACGTGTTACCTCAGGGCTAGTACTAGAGTGCCACCAAGATTTAGGCAAAGCCTCGGCAGATAATATTATCCTGAGGTAGATTAAAGGGCACGACAGAGGAGTAAAGGTAATCGCATTGCCGACTCTTTAGGCAAGGATACGGTTGGACTTAGAATTTTAGGACCCAGTGACACTTACGGCCTGATGACTTCGACAATTGCGGAACTAGCTAAACGTTACACCCATGCTCAATCCCTAAAGAGATGGGATGAAATCAAAGGATGCAATCTTGCCAGGATCACCCTGGGCGACCCTGGGAAGCTGGCGCCGAAGAAATATCTGGCGATTACCAGGAAAAACCTACGCTTAACAGTAGGATTTCTGACTGGCCACAGTTAACTAAGGAAACACCTCCATAGTATGGGACTAGTGGACACACCTCTATGTGTGGATATGTGAACAGGAAGATGAAACTGTCAGGCATGTCCTATGCGAGTGTCCGGAGTTTTCGTCAATAAGAGAGTGTGTGTTCGGCGAGTCTTGGCCTATACCTGCCGATATAAAGGAGATGTCTCCCAGTGATCTGTCCACCTTCCTGGAAAGGACAGGATGAACGGTGATCAAGGAGGACAACTCCTCGGGAGGATGTACAATGGGTCACATGTGGCCTAAGTGCTGTAGGTCTACACTCCCTTCTACACTCCCTCCCTTCTAATTCGTTTCATCCTTTCGTATAGCCCTGGAATATATAATATAACGTTAGCTGTGAAAGATGTCGGTGGTTGTTGAATCTGTAATTGTTGAGTTGGTGGTTTTTGAATTTGTGATGCCGTTTATAAGGTCATTTGGTTTTCAACTGACTATTTATTTTCTATTTTAATCATTGTTATGTTCCAGTTTCTGACAATAAGACATTTGTTGAATGATTAGTGTTAACTCAAGTGTACAAATGTTGATGTAAAACTGGAAAAAACAAAAATATCTAGATTTTTGTTATTGGATTAAAGCAGAACATAACTGAAGATAATGGGTCGAATTATATTTGAATCCCCGATATGTTTATTCATTATTAATATCGAATCTTGAATATTATGTCAATATAATTTATGTATTTTGTGTTTCAGAACCGACTTGAGGGTTGTGAGTGAGGCCATACAAAGCAAGAGCTTGAACAACTTGATTATGGTGAGTACGCTCCTTTCAGTTTTCTATCAAATTAATTTATTTTTACTTTCAGAAACAAAGAGTAACGTACTATTGTAATAAACTTTGAATCTGATGAAAATTTTATATATTATTCTAGACGAATTGTCAATTATAACACTTTAGACCAGTGCCCGAAAGAGAAAAAATAAATAATAGCATGAAAATTATCAGAAATAGTAGAAAATGTTAAATGTTTCTAAGACATTCTGTCTGTCTGTTTTTCTGTTTAAAATCTGTTTCTAAGACATTGAAATCTATGAATAAAAAAATATTTCACTATACATAAACCATTTCAAAACTATGTGGTTTAAGTTGTAGGGTCAAATTTAAATAAAACGCTGATGATTTCTTCGATTATTGACATTGAAAAATGATAAAAGTTGGCCCTGACTCATTCAAGAAATTTGGTGTTCTAGCAGACTGCTCGAATGTCTACCTAGTGAAAAAAAATTATTCCAGTTGATGAAACGGTAAATAAATTCACTTATTGTGTAGCAATTTTTATGTAATAGAAAAATATAATCCACATTATTATTTCAATCTTTACCTCCCAGTCAAAAAAATGTACTTGTAAAAGTAGGATGCTATAAGGGATCCAATTGTTGGGCCAACCCAGTAAACCTAAAAATATAATTTAAAATTACTCGTATCATAACTTGAATAATCAAAAATATTTGTGTGGGAATCACCCACAATAAATATTTCTTAATGAGACGAATCAGAAAACGACTAATACATTTTGATGCAAACTGTGCTACTGTGATTTTTTCTTGGGATTGCTTCTGACTCGAACAGGGATCTTGTTAGATAAAAAAAAAATTATAATTTGATGAAATATTCTCACCCAGTGTGACGTATAGTTGTTTGTCCAAACTGCTGGTCCCAGGCTTCTTGCAGGATTCATGCTAGCTCCTGTATAGGCCCCCTGAAGAATGAAAGTATGTTCAGATATATGGCAATGCGGAGTTCTTCAGGAAAATGTTATTGGGCCGGCCAGTGCTTCAGCATTTCTTGAATATACTAATGTTAACGAAATTGGAAAGAAGTAAAATAATAACGATTGAGGTGGTGATCCGATGCCACTGTCTGTGTAGTTTTTATTGTACACACAATTCCCAATCAAGCAAGTTTTTGCACCCTTCTTAGTCTGTTAGTAGTGGTAATGTGCTTTATTTATATTATCGGATCATAGATGCATATGTTGTAATGAACTTCATCACTCATCATGATGTAGAGCCAATATATTATGTCTGGTTTCAGCCCCCATGACTTTGCCTAAGTGCTTCTGGTCAGTACAACCACTACTGTTCTTTTTACACTTTCTAAACATTGATTCTATATCAGCCTGGGCTCTATTATTACTCCCATATTTTTGACCTGTCGCGACACATGTAATTCTTCACCTCGGAAGTTTATAGGTCCTAAGTACTCTATCTTGAGCCTCTTGGTGAAAGCTACTATGCTTGATTTCGTCAGGTTTATGTTCAGACCTTCTTCGTCAGTGCATCACATTTTAATGTTTTTAACCTGCAACATGCAAAAAAAGGTAGATAATCATCGGCAGATAATCATCGGCCTATAGTGCTTGCCGTTGACAGTGATAGCCTGGCCAACGTCGATCTCTAAGAAATATAGATCGATGACGCCGCCAGCCCAAAATTCACACCAAACAGTGACTTTTTCGCGATGCATTGGACGCTCTTGGATCTCATGTGGATTGGTACCATCCCAAATTCGACAATTTTGTTTGTTCACATACCCATTCATCCAGAAATGGGTCTCATCGCTAAAGATGAATTTTCGATGAAAATTAGGATTAGTTACCAACTGCTCCAGATCCCATTCAACGAAAACACGTCGTTATCTATGGTCGATTACCTTCAGTTCCTGGGTCAGTTGAATTTTGTGAGCGACGCGAAATCAACTACCTCGGATTCTCCTGCGCACTCTCACAGACAGCGGCGATGTTTTCGGCAAATCTTGCATTTGGTGGATGTACGGGTGTTAGTCGATCGTTTACTGAACTAGTAGACTTGAATTTATCCACCATATTGTGAATAGCCATATTGGTCTGTCTGTCATTGCAGCAAGCGACTCTGATATTCATAATGCTATACGCAAAATTGATTTGACTGTAGAAAACGTGGCGAAGTTTTTGAACATAACAGCAAATAGAACACTTGCATATGGAGATAAGAATGGACTCAGGTCATTTGTACATATGATGAACAACAGTGGGCCCTAAAAAATGTTTTTCTTTACTAGAATTAGCAGACAACTAACATTCCAATCTAATTTGGCTGTTTATAAAACAATAATTCCACCACACTTTGATTTCTGTTCTACTCTGATATCGTTACTAGACGGTAATTCTATGTCTACTCTATAAAAGTTACAAAACAGAAGAATGCGCTTGTTATTAAAATGCCATAAATATACTCCTATATTGTCAATGATTGATATTCTGAATTGGATGACAGTAAGAGATAGATTACAATATTTTTCTATGATATTCATATTTTTTTAAATTAACTGAAAAAGCACCACATTACTTCAATAAATTCATTACATATAACCATCAGATATAAATACGATACAAGAGGAAGAGATGACTTGGTTGTCCCACGAAGTAACCTTGCAAGAACAATGAACTCTTACTTATCTCACCTGCCATTCTGTTACATTTCCCCGGGGTACATTGAGACAAACTCCAGGCTCAGTAGAATTCCCGACAATGTAGGACTCACTGGGGGTCAATATCTGTAAATTAGTCAGTGTATCATTATTAAGTTTCGGTGCTTACTCGATTACGCCACCTTATGAAATCCGGATCCTGCGAGACATCCGAGAATTTGGCAGATTACGTAAACGGGAACTTGTTTTGTTGTAACTTCGTCGAGGATAAACGCAGCCATGGTAACCACTGGATTCACGTGAGCTCCTGATATGTGACCAAACATCTGAAAAATTTGACACGACCCCATAAATAGTTATTAGTTGACACATCTGGTTTAGAATTAATCAAATAAAAAAATAGCATGCACTTGTATAAGGATATGCTTGTACATGTATTGGAACTAAGCGAATTTTGAATATCGGTTTTCTTATACTCATAAATTCGACCATATAACTAATATTATTCAGTTCTTTTTTGATTGAAGGTGATAAACAATATCATCACCTGCTTTCAACTGTTACATATGTTGAATTTTTGGGTTCCCAGACGGTCATCTAGGAATAGTGTCACATTTTATCTCAACACTCCGCGTACAAATATAATTGAAAAATCTCCAATTCATACAATGTGCGATACCTCTAAGCTATAGAAAAGGTATAGACTCGACCAAAACTGGCTGGATCTGTGCCATGCTAAACAGAACTGCAACTACGACTCTTCAAGGCGAGGCCATTAGGTTCGGTGTCACCAGGAGCTGACCTCAAGGTATGGTACTATCTCCCCTTCTGTGGTCACCTTCTGTTGATCTGCAAGCTTATGCAGATGACCTTGTCATCCTGGCAAGGTCCACGTCGGAAAATATAATCCAAAGCACGTTGAACGCTGTTCACAGTTGGTACCTGAGGGAGTAGATGTCTGTCAACCCCAGCAAACCTGTGTTAATCCCCTTCACCAAGAGGAGAAAATTTGACGATCTAACGCCACTTTCCCTCAATGGTGAGGTGAGGTTGGCATTGTCCTTGATAAAAGACTCACCTGGAACGCTCACTTGGAAAAAGTTTTACACAAAGCAGTCTCTATGGACATGTCGAAGTATTTGTGGTAAAACTTTGGGTTTAGGTCCCAAAGAAATCCATTGGATTTATGTGATGATTGTCAGACCAATGATCACTTATGGTGCAATTGCCTGATGGCCGAAAGCTTTACAGTAAACGGTCCAAGCGAAGCTCTCTGGCTTACATAGACAGGCTTGTCTGGCTATCAGTGATGCCTTCAGTACCACACCCTAGGCGGCCATGGAGATCCTTCAAGATCTACCTCTCGTCCACATTTTTCTGGAGAGAGAGAGACTAGATGAACTGCATACAGACTTGTGCACATTGCAAATTGCACAAATCAGTTTAATGCAGAGTGTAACATACTGTTGGTTGACACTGGAAGTCACAGCATTCTGGAAATGACCTCTGACTTTATGCCTCCAACTGTCAACTACGAACTGCCTTATAAAGTACTATTTCCGAGTAGAGAGGACTGGATCCTCCGGGAGAAGGAAATATTAAGAGCAGATAGTTGTTGGTTCACAGATGGATCAAAAACACCTTCCGGTTCTGGTGCAGGTTGGATAAATCCAACCTCACGCAAAAGTCAATACAAATATTCCTGGACAGTCAACGTCTAATTTGGTAGCAAATTGCCAAAAACGACTCTCCTCGACAGGAAAACTTAACATATTGTCTCTAGTCTAGATTCCTGGCCATACTGGCCTGGAAGGCAATGAAGCTGCTGACTCCATTGCAAAGGAGGGTGCTGCAGGCAGCTTCATCGGAACAGAACCTGTCATTGGCATCGCTTTAGGCTTTGCCAAACAAACATTGAACACCTGGATGGCAAGAAGATTTATGGACTTCCAGGATTGGCTCACTCCAAGACTTATATTCACCCTTCGAAGCTTGATGTCAAACAGTTGTTGGACTACAGTAGGGATGAACTACGATGTCTAACAGGCCTTCTTACAAGGCCCTGTCACCCTGTCACATTATATGCAGAGACTTGGACTATCGGAAGACAATGTGTGTCGCCTCTGTTTGGAAAATAATGAAACAGCAGGCCACATACCTTGTGCCAGGTTCTTAGAGTACGGCAAAGCCGTACTCTTATCATCTGATCTGAAAGACCACTCATCATACAAACTAATCGGCTTCGTTAAGAAGCTGGCCGAGTGTGAATAGGTGTGAGCCACAATAAACCCTTGCGGCTTGCGGTGGAGGGTCGAATAAATCCACTCTCACACTCACACTCACTA